TTCAAAACAATACTTTCGAGCTCAAAAGTCACGTTTAGTAATTAAAGATTGAAGGAAGCAGCGTATTAAATAAATATGTGTCTTATCAACGCAAATCCGCCTTTTGTTTTTGTTTATATGGCGAAGGCTGGGCTGACGCACGTGAACTTAGACGAGCGCGGTTGACTTTCAAACTCTGCTGACTCCCCTTCCCTTCCTTGCCTAACTAAGCGTTAAGCTGTCGGCGACTAATTAATTTTAACCGCATACATATCGCTATCAGTAGCTAGAAATTATGTTACAAATTATTGTTGGTAAACGTAATCAGTAATACCTGCTGATTTGCAGAAAAAATCACGCTGTTGTACGCCAAGTCTGGTTTTAAGTTAAAGTTTCAATCAAGCGCAACTGCATTCAAGCGTTGACAAGCATAAGAATAAGATCGCTCTTAGATTTACTAAAACAGTTTTTGTTTTTATAAATAATTACTTATTTGAAATCTGAAAAATGCTACCTTCAAAAGTACTAAAACATTTTCGTCCTTTTCTTTTGCTCTTCTTCCTGCAGTGCGCTTCGTACGTAGACGCCGCATCGATTATGAACGAAATTTTGGTTTTGGATACGGCCGCGCCATCAACGACAACTTCACCATGCACGCCTACGCTGCAGCAATTTGCTGTCGAGTTGCACACTGACCTGGGTCCAAACGAACGCGTCGGCTTGACAGGTGATGTGAAAGCTTTGGGTGAATGGCGTTTGGAGCGTGCTATTGCATTGCAGCCACAACAGGGCGGCCGCAAGTGGGAGGCCAATGTGTTACTGCAGACTTGCCGCAACATCAGCTACCGCTACTTTATCTACACTGAGGACAAGCAAGGACGCAAGCAGATACGCCGCTGGGAGACACGCCTGCAGCCGCGTGTACTCAAGCCTACTGGCGAGTTGGCTGCGGCCGAGACGCGCGTCGATCGCTTTGGTGATGCTGATGGCAGCGGCGAGACGCAAGTGAATCGCGGCTGGTTGACCAATGAGTGCATAGTGCAGCTGAAGTTCGAACGCGAGCAAATGTTCCAGGTGCTTGATATTGAGAAATTCGATCCAGCCGATGAGGTGTATGTGAAGATTTTGCCCCTAAATGAAGAGAGCGAGCCAACTGAGGCGGGCGTGCATGTAGAGGTGGCCAAGTTGAAGTATGGTGAGAGTCACTTGCAGGCACAGCAGGCTTTCGGTATTGCATATGAGCGCGGCGACGTTGTTGTATTCCACATCACAGCACCTTGTCCATTGCAGACCGCCTTTGCGTTGCTTTTCCACACACCCGATCAGCGAGCAGTCGGCAAGGCGGTCATTACAGCCGAGCAGCTCGCTGGTAGCGAGGGTGTTCTGGAGTTGTCTATTACCGAGCCGGTACCCGAAGCCACCACCATCATATCGCGTCTAACGCTACCGTACCTGATCGTCAAGCCATTTGCCGACAAGACACTTGACTTCCGCACCACATATGCGCATTACTGGCCCAAGAGCTGGCCCAATCTGAATGTTGGCCACCGTGGCAATGGACGCAGCTACATTGCAGATCCGCCCGCCGAACGTGAGAACACAATCGCTTCCTTCATGCGCGCCTACGAAAAATTCGCTGACATGATCGAGTTGGATGTGCACTTGACAGCCGATGGCGTGCCGGTGATCTATCATGACTTTGGTATGCGCACAGCGCGGAAGGGCAAGGAAATCACCAAGCCAGAACAACTGGAGTATGTGCTGATCAAGGATGTGGATTACGATAAGTTGAAGCAATTGCGCGTGTTCGCCATCATCAATGGCAAGCCAGTCGAGTTTCCGTCGCACAACGCCGAGCCACGTGTGGAGCATCGCATCTTCCCTACGCTAGTCGATGTACTTGAGGGACTGCCCAAGTCCCTGGGCATCGACGTGGAGATCAAGTGGCCACAGCGCCGTGCTACCGGCGCGCCTGAAGCGCACCAGACAATCGATAAGAATTTCTTCACCGATCGCGTACTGGCGACCGTCATCAATCATGGCTGCGGCCGTCCGTTACTGTTCTCCAGCTTCGATGCGGACATATGCACCATGCTGCGCTTCAAGCAAAACCTTTTCCCTGTGATGTTCTTGACCCAAGGTCAGACGAAGAAATGGTCACCGTTTATGGATTTGCGCACGCGTACTGTCGAACAGGCTATCAATAATGCGCAAGCCTTCGAATTGGCAGGCACAGCGCCACACGCTGAGGATTTGCTGAGCGAAGAGGGCGCCGAGTTGCTGCGAAAAGCGCGCAAGCTGGGCCAAATTTCGCTGGTCTGGGGCGATGACTGCAATTCGAAGGAGCGGGTGAAGTACTTCGTGAACATTGGTGCGACTGCGACTTGCTACGATCGCACAGATTTATACATACCCGAAGACAAGGAGCGCGCGTTCTTCAATTCGACTAGTCTATTGGCACAATTCGAGGACCAGTGTTTGCGTTAAGTGGGAGCAGTGTTAGAGATAATTGAAGGAGGGGGAGCGAAACTCCGCACACAAGGAGGGTAGTTATTAAGTGACAATGTTTGATCGGCCTGTCGATCGGCGAAAAGTGGGCGGGTCATTTGCCATAAAACGATATGTGCGGGATATACAAAGTAGAGGCAATATATAGAAATAAATATAAAGTAGAAATATATATATTTTTTTATAAAAAATATTCACAAGTAAAATACTAACTAGAGCAATATTCAAAAAACTCCTAAATTTAGAAAAGCAAAACACTTAGAGACAAAAAAAATATTAATTAATACACACACCAGCAAATTTTGACATATACTATTATGTAAATTTATAAAACAACAACTACATATGTGTGTTCAAACTAAAAACAAAACTTAAGAAAAAATATGCTTTAAAAAATATAACTAAAAAAAATAGTTCCCTTAAAAACAAAATGAAAATTTCAAAAATTTGGAACTGTTTTTTATTTAAGTCGCCACTTGTGATCGCCGTCGTTCGCTGGCGAATGCGGAACGCTAGGTGTGCGCATGCTTGAACTCGCATTTTGCAAAAGTATAAGGTACAGTAGCAATGTGTTTGGCTGGCAATGCCGCAGCAGCTGTGCAACTCGAGCTCGAGTGTGGTGCGGTGACCCCCCCAATGCAGTAAGTAACTCTGCCCCTGATGAAATGCTGAAGGCAAAAGACAACTCTCAGTACTTGCTAATGGAACTTGAAATTTTTATATATTAAATATTTAAAAGTGAGAGTCTGTATGTTTGAAGTTGATCAGGGTGAAAGTCACACACGGACACGTAGGAGCAGATGGAGTGCTATTTATTTCGAACTGTTTACGGATTACTATTTTACCTTATATCTTTGGCATTTGTTGAATTTATGACAGCGAGGCTAGTATTTTTCTATTAAAAATTTAATTTTAATTAAAAATGGCGATAAATTAAAAAACGTTGCATATTATTTCTTATTGGAATTTGTTTGTGTATTGTTGTGTTGTTAAAAATTGTGTTAAAAAAATACAGCTAGGTAGTTAAATAATTTATATAAAAATTTTTCTTTTACGTAATTTTATTTAATTTTTTTATTTTTTTTGTTTTTTATTTACTAACGAAAGTGATAGAGTTTATATTCACAAAAAATATACATTTAGTTTGATAGTCTAAAATACCTTACTTATTGTAAAATTTCTTGACATTTTTAATATAAATATCCCTATTGATATTTTATAATCTGAAGAGATAATTATTTCTACTATATTACCGTTAAGGTAATTAATGGTAAATGGTAATGGTGTATTCCTTTGAAGTATATAACCGTCGGTATTCAAACTAGGCTTACATGTATACTTAAAATTATCAACACCATGTATTTGGGTCGTCCTTAATATATTAACGTATATATAAATTTTAAATTTAATTAAATTTATTTGGTTCTATGCACAAAGTGAAGAAATCCACGAAAATTTCAAAACTTTTCAAACAAATTTAGGGATCGCAAAAATTTGTAAAAATTTTAATTTTGACCAGCTATAATTCAGAGAGTTTATAAACTTATAAGAATAAATTTTAATAAAATTTTTCAGATTTAAGTCACAAATTTTGCTGAATTATTGCAATTAAAAAGTTAAGTTTCTTCAGGTAGCAAACCCTAAAAATTTGTTTAAAATTTTGAAATTTTCGTGGATGTGTTTATTTTGTGCGTGAAACAAATTAAAATTTAAATAAATTTAATAAATTAAAATTTAGTTGTTTATATTTTATTGGACCTCCCTGGTACATTCATATGACAATAATAGACCTGTGTACAAAGTCTTCAGACGAATTGAGGGAGTTGGAGATTTTATACCCTCCATTGAAATTAATAGTATTTAAAATTTCATATATTCGAAGAACAAAAAAGCAGAATATGTCCATCATATAGAGAAATACAGGTGTAGATATTGAGATCAGATCAACATCATGGCTATTATATTCGATTTCTTCATCCAGCGTGAAAAACAACATAAGGAAGAACTGAAGATAGTCGCTGCGACGCTTCGAGACTGAATCGAGCCAACTTGGCCAATCAGCATTAACTCAATACACATCCGAATGCCCGGCAGTTGTGGAGTAACGTTATATGTAGCAGAGATAGACAACAGCAAAGGAAAGTAACTAAATTCAGACGTTTTCAATATGAAAACCATATGAGCATTGCTTTCCAATCAAAACTTCTACGTCCCCGATATAGCAGTGGTTAAGGAAGGAATGCGTCTGGTGACGTTTTAACTTGGTCGATGGTTCTCATCTTCGTATCGAAAAAACTAACATCAATGGAAACCGATTCGCTATGCCGTAATCTTTGCTAAACACACTTAGTAAGAGGGCTTTTAATTTCTGCCGAAAAAACAACTAGAAGTCGGTAGAACTCTCGTCATTATTCAAACAGATGTTATAGTTTTTTTCGATCCATCTCTTAAGATACTCAACATCTACTCTACGAAAAATTTTCCTGAGGTTACTTAGAGTCAGTAAAGTCTTTTAAAATCATTGCCAGGAACAAGGAAGGGTTAGAAAGTGCGAGACCACTTTGGAAGTTCAACGTAGCCACATGATGATGGTATCGCAGCTCCCGTCAACTACGAACTGTCGGTAGGCATTTGTGAAATGTGAAGCAGGCCTTATAATTTAATTTATATTCACTTACAGATTATTGAAAGCAGAACGATTTTCATGCGATTGGATTACCGGTAACGAAACACGGATACGCCATAACACATCAAAGACTAAACAGCCATCGACACATTGAATATATTCGGGTTAATCGCTGACGCAGAAGCTCAAGGGTTCTTTTGTGGGCTAATAAGATGACGACAACAGTTTTTTGGGATACTCGTGTTATAAACCACATGTGGACTACCTCGAAAATGAAGAGAGACAGCCGACGAATATAATGTTTATTTGTTTGACTTAACTGGTTTAAAGAAATATCGGGCAACAAATGGATACACCATCATCTATGTTCACCAGATTCAGTCGGCAGTGTTTTTTTTTCTTTCTCAAAACTAAAGCAGGAAGGGATATGACTACAATAATGAAATGAAAATTGAAAATATGCTGGATGTAGTATACAGAACTACAGAACAGTATACAGAAATAGAAAGAAACTTTTTTCGCCGGTAAAACTATTCTTAAATCACACATTCTTGGGCTTATTGAGCCACCCTTGCATGGAGATCAAGAGAAAATTTTTCCGTCGATAAAAGATCTTTCTGTGCCAAATTATTGGGCTTACTGAGATACCCTTGTATGAAGAGTATTAGGATTTAAAATGGGAATCCGCAGCAACTATTATGCGTATAATTTTGACTTCGGGTTCATGAAAAAAACCCGAAAACTCAGGATACCAAACGAAATTTAAGTTATTTTATTTTAAGGGTGGACCTTTTTTAAAGTCAATAAAATTTGTAGATCAGAATAGAAAAAAAAAATTGTAATAGTTAAATTTTACCAAGCCTTAATTGCAGTTTATGCCTATTGGAAAAAGGAGTTTGCCATTCGAAAGGGGTAGTTGCCCATATTTAGTACAAGTAAGCGAGTGTAAAAAAAGCAAAAGCAAAAAAATAAACATTGCCGATCACCTCATGTTTAAACTCTTAGAAATTAGCGAAATTCTTAACTGCAGTTAAGCTTTTGGCGGAAATGAACTATTCGATTCTTTTAAATAACTACAACGTTTTCCCAGTGGAATGTAGAAAATTTCTTTTCGAAGAAAATGAATTAAAATGGAAAGACATGAATATACATAGAGTAACGAAGAGTTAATAAATAGGCCGACTATTCTAAAGCCCTCCAAAGATATAGATAGTTCCAATAATTTTTATTTTGTTGAACTATTTATTAGACTTATGTACATTAGGGTGTTCAAAAATGCATGTGGATAAAGTAAAGTCGGAATTTTAATGCTCTCACCCCCTTGGATTGTTCCAGATCAAAAAAATAATATTTAGAGGTCGCTCGAAGGGCACAAAGTTTTCGAGATACATATTCAATATGGTAAAAAATCATTCTTCGTGGAAATGGTATAGAATTCTTGAAAATCAAGAACTTTGATTTTCTTCAGGAGACTTCCAGTAATTAGTTAAATTTTTTATTTACCATTTTTTAATAAAAGCCACTTTTTGTGATTCCCCAATGGAATTTTTTTTGTGGTTTTTAGGCGACCTAAAAAAATAGTTAGTATTAAAAAATTGTTAAATAAACCTTTGTGTATTATTACTGAAAATCTTCTGGAGAGAAACAAAGTTTTCCTATAGAAAAATATTGATTTCTTCCCATACATATAAAATACATGGAAAACTTAATATTTTTTGATTTCAAAATAAAAATAGGGGTATATTTTTCGATCTGAGATTATTAAAATTCCGAATTTCCTTTTTTTTTGACCACCCCAATGTGCATATGCAGTGACCTTAATAAAATACCAATTTTATTTGTACAAATAAATCTGTATAATAATTAAAATTATAATCGGTTTGAACACTAAATAACAAGTTATTTTTGTAAAATAAAACAAATAATGGGTGTTCCAAGAAAATGATATTTGACAATTTTTTTATTCTTGCTTTTTTAATATTTGTTCGGTTTGTTGTGATTTAAATTTTTATTTTATTTATTTTTTATTAGCTGTTTATTTATTTTTTGTTTAATATGTATGCATATGTAAATTTGATAAAAAATTCAAAAACTGTTAATTGCATCTAAAAGAAACAGCGATTACTTTCAAAATTACCAAAGATAAATATAACAGAAATGTGTGATATTATTTATTTATGTATTTATTTATTTAAATGTGTATGTATAATACTACTACTATTACTATTATTAGTACTATGATACGTATGCATATTGAAAGCAAAAACATATTTTAAAAATTAGCTGACAATAAACAAGCAAAGCTTAAATGAACTAAACAAAGTTATTATGTGTATTTATGTGAAAAATGCAAACAAAAGTTAATTAAATGAACTATTACGATGCACTACTCACTATGGTACCTTAAAATATCAAGCACTACTCATTAAACTACATACTTGCGTACGAAGATATATTAATGAGAAAAATTGCACTGATCATAAATAAATACCTGGAGCTTATGTAAAACGATAAGGCAGCACGTACATAGGCCCTTATTATGAGCTGCATTCGATTTTCGATCTTCGCTGGCTATCGAAGATTGAAGATCGAAAGTGAAATTCGTATTATGAGCTATGCAAGCGTGTCGAAAGTTTCGTTGAGTATCGAATTTTCTATCGAACAGAATTTTGCTTTCGATGGTGTAGCGAAGTGTTAGAAAATTGTGAAAAATTTATGATTTTGTATATGTTTTCTTACATTTTGGCGGCTAGACACTAATTTTAAACAATTTTTATTAATTTCATGAAGTTCTAACATCGTGAATACTAAACACAAACTCGAAAGGCTGGTTTTACTTGTGAAAGAAAAACCCAATACTGTTGGCACGATCTCTGAGAACAAAATCGTAGCGCTGTTGATAGTTTTAAAATATTTTAAATAGATTTAGCTCACAAACACCACTTTAGATGGACGGAACTTTTTAATGAATCTGTAGACAAATTTCTTAAATATATTTTATATCAAAATATATTCGAAAGACTAATAAACTTAAACTCTCTTAACATTTACTACTCCTGGCCAGTTTACTAAGCTCTCATCCTCTGTACTCATTTTACCACGTTTTTATAAACTCGCTTTCTTTTTTATTTCATTTTAATTAGAACAAATTTACATAAATATGTATAAGCACACTATTTAGTTTGCTCGATTTGTAAACAAAGCTTCTCAGCGGTGAAAAATATACTATTGTGAACGACCTAAACGAGCGAAATTAACAATAGCGCTATTCTTCATCGAATGAGCGCCATAATACCAACTGAAAATTCGTTCGCTCAGCACTTTCGACCACAGTCGAAAATCGAATGCAACTCATAATAGGGGTCATAGATTTGTAATGAATATATAGCACAAACTACAGAGTACCTTAAAAGCACAGAAATACTTTTCAAATACAATTAATATGGCACTATTGCTAATTAAATACTTAGCTCTTGGAAAAACAAAAATTAAGAAGACATACACAAATAATATACATACATATACATATGTATATATGTAAATATGTAGCGCCCTATTGCTGCGATGGCAGTTTCGCTGGAAAACTTGTAATTTTCATACAGTTGCAATTTAAAATATAAATACAAAATAATCAAATAGATGAAGCTTATATATGCACATACATATGTAGGTATGTATCTTTTGATGAAAATTATAAAATTCTACATATGAGAGTTACTGAATACAGAAAAGGTTTTTATAACGGGTGATTTTTTTGAGGTTAGGATTTTCATGCATTAGTATTTGACAGATCACGTGGGATTTCAGACATGGTGTCAAAGAGAAAGATGCTCAGTATGCTTTGACATTTCATCATGAATAGACTTACTAACGAGCAACGCTTGCAAATCATTGAATTTTATTACCAAAATCAGTGTTCGGTTCGAAATGTGTTTCGCGCTTTACGTCCGATTTACGGTCCAATGATTCCACCAGCGTACAAACCACACCAAACAGTGCATTTTTCGGGATGCATGGGCAGTTCTTGAACGGCTTCTGGTTGCTCTTCACTCCAAATGCGGCAATTTTGCTTATTTACGAAGCCATTCAACCAGAAATGAGCCTCATCGCTGAACAAAATTTGTCGATAAAAAAGCGGAAAAAACCGAACACTGATTTTGGTAATAAAATTCAATGATTTGCAAGCGTTGCTCGTTAGTAAGTCTATTCATGATGAAATGTCAAAGCATACTGAGCATCTTTCTCTTTGACACCATGTCTGAAATCCCACGTGATCTGTCAAATACTAATGCATGAAAATCCTAACCTCAAAAAAATCACCCGTTAGCAAATAAAAATATTTTTCTATGCAACAAAATCTCTTCACTACTTTTTACTGCACTTAACTTTAAGAATTCTCAGATATATGTATACTACTCAATCATTGTTAATCAAATAAGGCACTTAAAAAATTAAAGGGCTACTTCTGGATGATAAATTTATAAGCGGAAAAATTTGCTATTTAAAGAGATATATTTAAATATTGAACTTAAAATGGACTCAGTTTTTGAGCTGAAATTGGCCCTTAACTACACTAGTGAAGAGCTTATCAACCCTTTACTAAAAATATAAGAGTCGTTATCTAATTCTAATATATTTATTACACATATTTATTATAGCACAATATATGAAAAGAAGAGCCGTGCTCGATCGAAAACTACGAAAAAAGCCTAGAAAGTTCAAATATCAATAAAATTATAATAAGCAAATTTTCATTAAATTCGTTTCCACGTGGCTGTTTTTAAATGGCACATATTTTTCGTCATTTTAATGCCTAATGAAAATTCGGCATAACTTTGTTAAAAACAAGTAATTTTTGAGCAAAAAAACAAAACCGACTTCAATTCTCATATATAAATTTAAGATTATCGTTAATTTCGTCATGATCCAATAATCGGATTTAAACTAAATTAATATGGGACCTGTGAAGTAATACCTTTCCTTTAATAAACTTATAGAAATCAGTTAACGTGGTCCCAAGTTATGCGGTAACATACATAAAAAAAAAATTCCGATGAATTGATAACCCTCTCCCCTTTGTGAAGTGGGTTAAAAATGTAACAAACTTCCGTAAAAATTTAAAATTTTTAATCACCTTTTCTGGACTCTTGAGTATGCAGTTTTGAAGCCCATTTAGTTTTAGTAATGGAGTGCATGTTACGTGTAGCTTGGACTTACAGCTGATGTTTGCATTTTTTTTTTTGCTGGCGCTATAGTATCTTTTCTTCCACACAAAGTATTTTCCACGAATTTTTCATATGGAAGAAAATGTTGTTCATTTCCACTGCAACTTCAAATGCAAAATCAACGGTAACTAAATTTAAAGGGCTACAACACTGCTTACTCAAATCTTTCTAAGAATTACAATGAAAGTTTTAGACTTTCGTTGAATTATTGTACAAAGTTTAAAACTGGACTTATAAGTACTTTTTTTTCTTAAAAAACGAACTATTTCTTTTTAAAAAGACAATGCAAAATAAAACAAATGAATTAAAACTTGTCAATATGTGGTGCGTTTATAATTTTGCCACGCGTTGTTTTTGTTTTCATATGAAAGAAAGAGAGCTGTGCTCGCAGAAACAGTTTCTAATGAATAAAGAATGATCGAATGAACTTTATTGTAAAACTCAACAAAATTTGTTTACCTTACTCTGAAGATACTTTGCAATGAGTATAAAACTGCTCATGTTTTGGTAAGTTACTCTCAAGCTTTTCTATGTCCAAGCATCTAAGTTTTCTTCATCGAAGCGGCACAACAAAAAAGGTCTAAATTTAGCATCTCTAATAACAATTAGAGCACTATTCAAGAGAAAATGTTTTTAGGCATTAGAACAACTAAAAGAAAAACTTTTGTACGAGCTGATTCTGAACCAGCAGCTAAAGTAAACTTATAATCTACCCCAAAGTATGCAACTACATTTTATCACTTTGAAGCGCTCAGACTTATGCTTAACGAAGTCAGGTCATTAATTACTTATCCAGGACATCGTTCAGCGGCGGAAGATATCTGCACTAAATACAATCACTTATCGGTTTGGGCCGATGCCAAAAAACTTTGCCATTTGCCTCCCTCCTTTGCGAATTGGCACCAGTTGCCCATGCCGAGGGCGGACAGATCCTTCTGAACTTGATCCTTCCATTTACTTATCCGTAGGCGCTTTTGTTTCGTTGACCAGC